TGTCTTGGTAATACTGAGGAAGAAAGTAGTGGGTTAGTTTTTAAAAAGATGTATATTTTTAAAATGTGTAGTTGTGTAAAAAGGAAAAAAAAAGGAAGACTATGAATATAGACCATAGGCTATTCACTTAGTCTTACATGCATGTTTGTATCAGATTGCACAACTGATGTATTTACTTTAGAGTCAGTTCGTCCAGGTTTGAAAGAGAATAAAAAATGCAGAAGAGCCAATGGCGAGAGTGGTATGAGAAGAAAAACTTCAGACTAAGCTCAAGTCCTGCTGATTTCATAGTGGCTTCCATGTCATTTTCTTTGCAATGGTATATATGCTGTTTGCTATCACCTTCTTTGGGATTTTTTTTTTTTTTGACACCCAGCCTAGCCTACAGCAGGAGCTCCCAGGTCTTCTTTGCAATGGTATATATGCTGTTTGCTATCACCTTCTTTGGGATTTTTTTTTTTTCGACACCCAGCCTAGCCTACAGCAGGAGCTCCCAGGTCTTCTTTGCAATGGTATATATGCTGTTTGCTATCACCTTCTTTGGGATTTTTTTTTTTTTTGACACCCAGCCTAGCCTACAGCAGGAGCTCCCAGGTCTGTAGCTGGGAAGTCCAAAAGCCATCTTGGAAGAAGGCAATGGCAAACAGGTCCATGCTGCTGTCCAGGAAGCTACAAGGGCATATCCATGAATTTATTAGGAATGATGCTCAACTTGAAGGAGACTCTCTGTTTAGATTTTTAAAGATTTTTTTTAATCCCGCTTTTATTATTTTGATAAATAACTCAAGGCGGTGAACAGTAATACTCCTTCCTCCTTTCCCCACAACAATAACCCTGTGAGGTGAGTTGGGCTGAGAGAGAGGGACTGGCCCCAAGTCACCCAGCCAGCTTCCATCATCTCCATTTACCTCATCTCTGTGGTATGGACCTGGAGCTTATTCAGAACAACATTTCAAAACTTACTTTGGGTTTTCTTCATAGTACACTGATTGCTTAATTGATGAGGTTAAACATCAGTTTCTACAAGAATGAAACAGGCAGTTTTATTTGAAAAGACCAGTATTCTTTGTCATCATCTGACCAAACTTGGTTGTCAAGAATAGTGTTGGGAAAGTGATCTTGCTGTTCTGAAAAACTAGCCCAATTTTATCTTTCATTTTGGGTGGCTTTCATTTAAGCGAATCAGAGGTCAAAGTTAGAAGTTAAATGTATTTTCATGGTGCTACTAACAACTCAGAAGTTATTTAGTAAGTCATGCCATTTTACAATTCCCAGGATTTTCATTTCTCAGTTTAGTCAGAATTTAAATGCATTTGTAAGGAGGTGCATTTTCATGTTTGGCCTTGCTACCTAGTCAAGAGAAGTGGATAAAGATATTCACATAGGCAAAGTTGTTATTTGCTAGAGCTTTGCAATTAGAAAGGAGTATTGTGTGTTGTGAGTCTTTGTATATGATTTGTATGCTAGTCCCAGGGAAATATTTGATAAAACATCCTTGATAGAATCCCGCCTGAAGGATTGTGCTAATTATGGATGTGGATCCTTAGATAAGTAAAACTATTTGCCACTGCTGCTGAAAAAGAGCAAAAGCAAGGTTTTCAAAAAGTATTGCTGAAAGTTAGGTATTATCTGGAGATTTGCCAGAGAAGATATGCTGTGTGAGAGAGAACATCAAGCCAGAATAATTGGAAGGAGGAGGCATCCTGTCTCTGCCCCCATCTGCTGTTAAATGATAAAGTTTACCAATTATTCTTGCAACAAATAGAATACATAGGTTATCCAGGAATAGTTTTTAAACCATTCTTTACCTTCAGATCCCGTTCTGAAGATCTTCATGTGCTTCACATCACAGACAATTCATAGATATGTATAGTCACCATTTGAAGAAGTGAATGTTTGCCACTGCTGTGATGATGAACTAATTCCATCCCAGTGATTATAGGTTACCTGCTGGTTTAAAGTTTTGGAGTGACAGGGTCCATTTTTTTCTGGGTTTGAACTTACACTAACATAAGCAGGCATCTCAAGAGAAGGAAAAACAGCAAGGGGGCAATTAGCAAGGAATAGTTAAATGACCGCAGGTTTTCTGCAGGAAAAAACGAACAGTTAGATGTGGATC